ACCAAGTATTTTATACAAGCAAATCTTTCTGAAATAAATCAACTAATACTTAAGATGAAAAACAAGTAAATTGAAATGGGAAACGGTACTTCAACAATTAATTTATTCAAAATTATATTTAGCTAGGTAGTTTACTGCAGTACAAAACACATTAATTATAGTTACCTATTCATTACGTCATTATGATACTGGCGCTTTTATTCCTCCACGTTTTAAATTATTGATTTAAAATTTTTTTTATAAGGTATTATTACTATAACGTATGACCTTAGATAAGAAATAATTGTTTGCATTTGTTTTAAAATAAATATGAATTGTAGCTCATGAAGTAAATAAATTAGAATGTCAGATAACCTATATAAAGCAAGGGTGGATCAAGCTGCGTTGTTTTATACTTAATTTAATAATTGTATCTAAAACTAAACAAATAGGTAAATATCATTGATCAATGCTTCTGCGGAAAACCTTCATTGTATATAAATATTAAAACAAAAGTGAAAATGTTTTTTTTATTTTTTTTTTAGATTATATCATACAATTTTTAAATTACACATTTTTTTAAGCCACTTACCTAGTTAAAATATTATGGGCATAATTTGAATAAGTACTTGGGATCAGGGACGACACGTATAAGTTATATTTTACAACATTGCAATAAAAAACACGTGAGTTAAAATAAAATATGATATATTTTTATCGTATTTTGGTCATTACAAAATGCATTTTTACATATTTTATGAACCCGTATAGATAAATAACAGACTTTTGGTCATAGTTTATTTATTAATTTTTATCTTTAGTATTTGACTTAGGTTTTCTATTTACTCGTAAATAAGGTTATAAAAATGCTATTATTAGTAAAATACTGAGCACTTTAATTTAGTTTTAAATTGTATTTATACGTATTCATCTGAATTTCTTATTTATTCCTTACCTAAAATGGTATTACTCAGTTTAGTCGAGTTAATTATATCAGCGAACCTTTCCTACAGCCTAAATACATTCAAAAAAAAAAAAAATCAGGAATCTAGACTACAAGTTACAAAATAATATTAGTTATATGGTACCTATAATAATAATATTATAATAAAACGTACTCGAAGTTGTGTTGTCTTGACTAATATTCCCAAAAAAAAAAATTGTGGTAAATCCTAGGTTTCACCAACTATACTGTCGGTATTTTTTTTGAAATTCTGATTTTTGTAGCTTAGACTTTTACAAACGAGATTTTACAAACGATATAGAATCAGTGTTAGTAAAAGTCCGAAATTTTAACCAATCATGTGTGCTTATTTTCCTTGCATTATACTCGTATATAATTAAAATATTATACTTTAACATAAAAAAAATTAAAATTATTATTTAAGTAGGTATATTAAGTTCTACAATATATTAGTTACTACCAGTATATTAGATACAGAAATTTATATATACTTATTTATTTTTATACTAGTATGATAATATTACTTCAAACATCTAAATTATTATTAGGTATTACTGAGATAATTGAATTTATTACTTTAGGTATATTACCTACTACCACGAATTAAGATAGATCCTTATTCGTGATTTTAAATAAATAAAATAATGTATAATTATATTTATATTAGGAACATTTTATTTTAAAAAAGTCATTTTTTATCTGTGCAGATTTAACTACTGTGACATATTTAGACATTTAGTTGCACAGTACATTTTTTGGATACCTAGTCAATAATTTATAATATTATAGCAGTTATACGTATATAATAATAATATAAATGTATGTATCTAATAGCTAATGCGTATAATACCTAAAGGTATTAAAATAATTATTTTTATTCTTAAGTTAAAGTATAATATTTTAGTTATATAGGAGTATACAACAAGGGGAAATTTTATACAATCCTTATTGGTAAAAGTCCGAAATGTTTAGGTTTGACCAAACTATTTTGAGTATCCTAGGTTTTACCGAAATCAATCCGACCGCAGTCGGTGAAACCTATAGGATTTACCGGTATTCTTACTTGAACCGTAACATAAAAAACATATAAGCCATGTTTGAAACAAAATGTGAATTTTAATAAATCAATGAAGGGGAAAAAAATTATTTATCAAAATAAATCTGCTTAAATTGTTATTTAATTACTATAATTTTATAATACAAAATTCTTCATACTTTCAAATTAATAATTTATACACTTTTAATTTTAAGTTTAATATAACATGAATTTAATATTGTATTTTTAGAGCACGGAAAAGGAAAAGCATAAAACATTTATTTTATCAAATTAACATACCTAACTTATATTTTATTTTTATTATTTAGCATAAGATTATGTCATCTAAAACTATTGATAATTTCATAATTGTTATTGTGAAAATATAAAGAGTAAAGACAATCCTTTTAAAAAACATAACACTGAATAGTGAATTTATTATTTGTTTTTGCAATTCTGCTACACAAAAACATGTTTGTCTTGTGGTATTTTTATTCCTTGTAATAGCTTGGTAGCAGTGGCCATTTAATGCTATAACATTTATTTACAATTTATATACCTACTTTATTTATATTGGCTTAAATCGTACGATGTATATACCATTTTATTTTATTCATTACTATGTTTTATCTAAGCTTACTATATTTTATCGACTCGAAAAGATTTTGAATTAATTCTTACAATTAAAATGTTAACTGCATCAAATATAGTTGCAAGCCGTCCAAAAAAAAAAAAAATTTAAAAATATATAACATGTGTATTAAAAAAACATTTTAAAAATAAAAAGTTTAAATAAACATAAAATTTAAAATGTTTTTAAAGACTTTGTCAATATTGTTTTACTTTGTACGTTACATAGTCGTAGTAAATTTATGCCTACAACAATGTATAAATTAACTATATTAGTATTGAAATTTTAATAGATCATTTGTATACTCTGTGGCTTTATTTATAAAAAGTTATTTCGCACTCGGTTACAGAAATATTAAATAATATACCTCTACGATACGCGTTCTCGGGTACCATATTATACAGTTAAACGGTTTAGTTTTGAAACGTTTAAATAAAAAAAAATTGAATGTTAAAAATGTAAAACTATACACAGATATACTCGTCAATTATATACAACGTTCAGATGCAATTTATCATAAAGCCCCCAAGGCCCAGCGAGAAAACTTTAAAACTCGGCTAAAACGCTGGCGAGTCAGTGGTAGGTATACGAACGGGCTTGAAAGTTTCGGAAAGGACTTCGGGCCAAAAACGCTTCTGCGTTGGAGAATAATAAAAATAAACACGTTCAAACCGTCGACACTGGTCGACGAGACAGGGAGGCTGAGAAAAAAACAACGTTACTAGTACGCTAATGCCCATTAAACGTGTAAAATACCTTGATAATATTGTAAAACGGTTGTTAAAAGGTTGAAACGATTAGGCGACAAAAATATATTATTCGTTCTTGGAACACGATTTGGCGGCGATCGGCAGCAGTGGCGTATAAGCATGTCTAATAATAATAATAATAATAATATAATATAATAAAAGTGCACGTAAATATTATACTCTCGAGGATGTTGCGCCTCGGAAACGCGTGACGGTTGAAGACGGGCACCGCCGCCGAGTTCTCGACGAGGAGATGATTTTTTTTTTAAATTTTAAAAAGAAACCTGCACTTGACGTTATACTCGTATATTACAACCACGGTTGTAGGTATTAATCGCCCGATACGGTATCATCGGATTCGCTCGATGTCATCTGCAGATTTTCGGGATATACCTGCACGCCACTGCGGGACACCGCCAAAACTACTTGAAACCGCTCTATGTATATATATATATATATATATATATATATGTATGTACAAATCAAACACGCGTGCACACAGGACGAGTTTTTAAAACAATCATTTAAATATTAGAAAAAAAATACATATTATACCTAATATATATATTGCCACGGAATAATAAAAAATGAAGATCAACGGCCGCTGTACACGACAAGCAGTGACGATCATAATATATTGTGCGGCGTACGTGTATATAGCGATGTGGTCGCGAATACATGATAATAATAATAATATTATTATCGTCGGCGCGATTTGGGGGGAGGGGTGGTCTTTTGGGTGTGTCCAGCTTTTAAATCAGCTCTCTAATAAGTTATATGTTGCTTATGGTTGGTTAAAATATTTCTTAATTTTTATTTTATATTAATTATTAATATAAAAAGTTTCCTCGTGTGATCGGGTGATATATCATATAGACAAACTAAAAAAAAGGAGGCTTGTTTACAGCGCACCCCCAGTTTTTTCGTTGAAATCGCGCCCTCGCATAATAATATTACAGATATCCTACAATGATATAATTAGATATTATTTATACAACAATAGATCAAATTATTATAATAATTAGGGCTGGGAATTTAATGCCCTGTAAAAGTGCAAAAATGCCTTAAAAAGCTTTAAATACGCACTGCGAAAATGCGTTTAAACATTTTATAACGAAAACGTGTGTTGTAGGTACAGTGGTGATTGTTTTTTCAAAGAAACTTTAAAATTCTAAGGCCACTAAAATAGAAGACGTATAATTATTGTTATCGCTTCTTTATAGAAATGAAAATTGAAAATATTACACTTTTCACATTATGTGATCGAAAAACTATATAAACGTCTACCAATGTGCTGGTTTTTATCACAACAATACATTTTGTATTACTTTTAAAATGAGTTGTGAAAAATGTACCAAAAACTCCCGAAAATTCCTCTAAAAACATTCCAAAAAAACGCCCTACAGAGTTGAATAATATATTACAGGTATTTGTAGAAAAATGCGGGCCTACTATACAGAAACAATGGGATCCACTTAACGTACATTTTCCGCTCACCCGGTCCTAAATCGACGGAAAAGCCGAAAACATAAATGGAAATCGCATCAAAATCCCAGCCCTAATCTCAATAATAATAATAAAACGAGAACGCACGCGCTGCAGTCATATTTATATAAATATACTATATTATATGACACTCACTGTGCGTGTCAAACTTCCTGATGATGGTCTCTATGACAGTGGTGCGCTGGGTGACATGTCCCCGGCGTATTGGCATGCCGTAACAGGCGGGATTACCCACCGGGCGAGCCCACCATACAGTCACGTTTCTGGCCACGCTGGTGCGGCGGGACGCGTGTGCGGGCGGCCGACGGCACTGGCCACCGGCATAACAGGTATTATCGGCGGCGAGCGGTGTTCACGTCGGTCGGTCGGCGGCGGCGACGGTGTCGTGCTCCTCGGACAGCGGACGCTTGTTCAGGGACGACTGTTGGCGAGACGGCGGCGGCGGTGTCGACGGTCGGCCAACGAACGTGTGCCCGGTGTCGCGGCGGTGCAGCTTGCGCGCGGTGCTTGGCGAGAGCGTCGTCGTGTTGGCGTTGCGCGGCACTGCTCCTGCCGGTGTCCACCAAAGCGCGGGCAGCGCCGCGACGCCGCCGCCGTCACGACTCGCGATCGCCCCCGAATCGTACCGAACGATTTAACACTTTTATGTGCGCGTGTACCCTATATATAGGCGTAGCGTGATCGAATTCGGTCGCGATGGGGGTGGCAGAGACCGCGGGGGATCCGTTTAATAGTAATGTGAGGGGGCTTCTTCCGATTCCTTAGTGGGGGGGCCTCAACTCTGTTAGCCCCAATCTACGAGTTGTATCACCCTATATAATATAATAAACCGTCCATTTTTTTTAATTATCGTCATGTTATATTGTCATTACTTATACAGAGGTGATAAGCCTGAGCAGAGGCGAAAATTCAGAATTTTCCACTATTTTTCCAGCAAGAGTTTACCAGAAAATTCACCCTTGTGTTACTATTGTGTTTTGTCCTGTAATACTCGTGCAGATTCCCCGACCACATTATATATGCACTCGTTTCCATTTCTTTCTTTAATAATGAATTTCTTCAATTTTCTTATTTTTTTTAATTTTGCTTATAATATTTATAGTAGTGCCATATTATCATAATATACATTCTTGAACTTTTTATGCAATTTAAGGTATATTATCCAGTGGAGATATGCAAACCTTTTTTTTCTCGAAGGAGAATTACCATTTTTATTTTAAATTGTTAAGGTGATGTTTTCTTTTTCTGAACGTTTTTATGTTCATAAATCGAAATTAGAACGAGAAGTTTCTGGTATGATAGTCCACTATACTAGGTTTGATATAAGACATGGGGCTAAAATTATTTAAAAATTATAGTTGTCAATATTAATATATGAACATTTCATAATATTTTGTAAAATTTTCAGAGTTTCATAAGTAATAGTCTAAATAATTAGGTAAGTAGGTATAGTCTAATCCATTGTTTCCCAAACTTTTTGCAATGGCTACCCATAAATTTAATATTTATTGTTTACGCGACCCCCTGCTAAAAAGAAAAAAATCAAGTATGCCTTAAATAAATAATATTTTTATTATTACTAATTTTGATCATTGAATTTTTATAAAATACAATACTTGATACATAATACATAATAAATAAATAAAATAAATTATAAAAAAATACAAAAATACTAAAATAAGCATAATAGTAACCGCGAGTCGCGACACATCAAAAAAATTTCGAGACCCATGATTGGGGAAACGCAGGTCTATATTATATTTTATATAAAACCATTGTTATAGGGACTATTTATAATTTATATATAATTTAATACAATATATAGTATGTACATTTTAATAACTCAGGTCTCAGAAACTGCAAGTTAAAATTTAAAATGCATCAACATTTTTGAAGAAAAACTTCTGCTTAACAATTTACAGTAAAAATAAGTGGTTCTCATTTTAAAAGAAATAGTCTGCGTATCACCGAACAATGTCTGAAAAATAATGAAATGTGGGTAATAAACAGTAATAGTAATATTATGTAAAATTATCATTTATATTATTATTGATGGGAAACAAAAAAAAATAACGAATAATGAAAATAATATATATACGAATTACGTTAAAACCAAACGAACGGGAAATTAGATCCCATTCGATCATGACTGTCAAAAATATGTACATTTTATAATTTATATAATCTTTTGTCTACTGACGTATCACGTATAATATTGTGTATTGCGGAAAAACTACATTTAAATAAAGATTTCGTAACGCATGTAATTCGTTTTTTTTTTTTTTTTATTGAACTTAAGCCCGTCAACTTTGTCTATTAGCTGTTTTTTGTTGTTTTTGTAGTGGGGCGGGGAATGGCTGGAGAGGTTGTTTGAAACACGTCTTTGGGTTTTGGCAGAATTTCAAGTTGGGCACCGGTAGTTTTCTGCCATGCCCCCCCCCACAGGGTGGGATGGTGGCATATCTCTTCGGACACCTTGACACCGTGACTACCCGAAGAGAAAAATGCCTCCCGTGGCCGGGATAGAACTGGCGCGTCGCAGCCGACGCCTTAGTACGCTTCTATCATATAAATCGCCTTTACCTACATCGGAAGCAGGTTTTGTCATTTATCAATTTTACCATTTTTTATCATATTATGAATACTGTAAATAATTGTGTATTTGTATATATAATAGTTTTATTGTCGAGCGGTAATATAGTCGTATACCTATAATAAAAGCTAATAAAAAAACTATAATATAATATAATATGCATGAGTGCATGACGTGTATAATATTTCTAGCAACTTTATTTTTAAGTTTGTACTTTTTACATATTATTACTCAATTACAATATTGTATTTTAGTTTAATTTCTGTAAATAAATTCCATTTCTGTTTATAAGAATATTATGTTTGGCAACGGTCGTGTACCTATGAAATGTATACTTCGTAGAAAAACGTAATGATCATAAAAAGCCAACATAAGTTTTCAACCGTGGAAATGCATAACATATTATTGTAATCAAGCCCAACTGCTGAACTGCCCGACATATTAAAAACAATAAGACATCTGTTAAATTACATTTTTTGTTGCAAATCATTTCATTTCATTCGTTTTAAATTATACAACTTAATCAATCGCATATTAACTAATAAGTAATTAAGTTATACCAAAGTACCTAGTAATAGTAATGTCCTATTGGCTATTATCACAAATTATATTATAATCTATGCTAGTATACCTATATTAAAATATTATGTAAGTAAGAAGTGGATTTTAATGTAGGTATGTACCTATATTATTTATTTTATTATAGATTCAGAGCGGAGCGATGAATGTATTGATTTTACAATGATGTGTGTTTTTTTTTTTTTTTTTAAATTTTTTTTGTGTCTGTGTACAACATAATTAGTCGAAATAATATTTAAATTTTCAATTTCAGAATTTTGTTTGATGGGAAAGTGAGCCTAGTTAGTGCATTGCGGGGAGGTGAAAAATTAAAATTCCCAGTAGTCGCATCAAAAGTGTTAGGAAAAACACATAAAAAAATCAAGGAAAAACAGGAATTTGTACTCAAAATTTATTTTGGTTTTTGGTGTAACTCTATAACGAATAAACGTAGAAACGTAAAATTTTAATTGAATATTTATTTTATCATTTACTATACACCATAGTATTTTAAAAATATTTTGACTTGTTTTGAGCTGTCTACGGAAATTTTCAGTTTCCATTTTTTTAGATTTTTTTCTATATATGTCAATAAAATAAAGTTTAGATTCTGAGTGGAACGATGAATGTATTGATTATACAATGATGTGAGTTTTTTTTTATTTATTTTTTATTTTTGTGTCCGTGTACACTATAACAAGTCGAAATAATGCTTCGATTTTCAACTTCAGTATCTTTCGATTGGAAAGTGAATATCGTTGGTGCATTGGGAAGTCAAAATTTAAAATTCACAGTAATTTTCAAAAGCGCCAAGAAATACAAAAGAAAAATTAATCAAAAACGGGAATTTTTACGCAAAATTGAATTTGGTTTTTGGTGTAACTTTAAAACAAATGACCTTAGATACATGAAATTTTCACTTGTTAATTATATTTGCATTTCCTATACACTATAATATTTTCAAAATATTTTGATTTATTTTGAACTGTTTAGGGACATTTTCATTTAAAATTTTTTTTTAGTTTTTTTTCTAAAAATATCAATAAAATTTTATTTTTTGGTTGCGAAAGCTTGAAAATTTAATAGAAGGCTCCTAGTATATTGTGTCAAAGGCAGATGAAAAATATTAAAAATCCTTAGTCACAATTTTTTTTTATAAGCATTTAAAGTTCAAAAATTGACAAAATATGGAAAAATCACGAAAATTAGCAAATAATTTTGAGTTAAGAATTCGTAAAAAATTTTTCTTTTTAAATCTAAGATTTGAAAATGTAATACAAGATTCCTCATAAGATTATCTACATTTATCAAAAAAAAAAAAAAATGTCTATAAGAAAGTCAAATTAAATTTTTATGAGCGTTTGAAATTCAAATTTTTACAACCTTGGATATTCACTCGATTTCTCATGTAGCGATTTCCTTATTTTGTTGTAATTCAAAAACTAATAACTGTAGATACATGAAAATTTCACTGAATATTTATATTAGCATTTCCTATCCACCATACAATTTTGAAAATATTTCGTCTAATTTTGAGCTGTTTAGGGACATTTACAGTTTTCAAATTTTTTAGTTTGGTTTTCTATAAATATCAATTAAGTTTTATCTGTTGGGCCAAAAAGTGTAAAAATTTAATACAAGGCTCCTGATATATTGTTACAATATCAGTTGAAAAATATTTTATTACACAATTCTTTTTATAAGTATTTAAAGATTGAATTTTGACAATTAATAATTATTTTGTAGTTATAATTTATAAAATGTTCAATTTCTATATGTAAGGATTGAACATTTGAAACAAGATTCTACGTAAGGAGTTAATTCTGTTACCAAAAAATCTAAAATTTATTTTTATAGTCATTTTAAATTCAATTTGAACGAAATTACATATTAAAAAACCTAGAATAACTATTTTAGTTATTTTGTTATGATTGTATAATATTATTCGTGGGTACTTGAAACTTCTAAAGTATACTATTATATATCAATGATGTATGACGGTTTGTTGTTGATGTATAACGCGTTATAAGTACCTACCTAATGGATATTGTGATATGATT